CAAGAATTTTATTCGCCTGACGTTTCGAAATTCGTCGCGGATCCATCATCAGATATAGAAACATGTAGTTCATGCACAGGGGTTGCATTAATTTTAGGATACAGTCACTATGATACTGCATACCTATGACATTTAACGATTCCCCCTATCGAGGATAGTTGGCCACTTGTGCGTAAATTGTTTCATGTTCAGCGTGCGGGTCGTGACCTGCTGAACTTTCATCACGCGTGTGGGGGGAATCGGGCGTGATGACTGCTGGACCATCTGGCTCCCCAGTGTTGACGTCAGACGACGCAGTGGCCTGTGCGGTACTCTAGTGGCGACTCGCTTAGGTCAAACTGAACCTCAGCACCGAATATGGATTGGGTAGGTCATTGCACTTATTTATAGACTGGGGGCCCATGACTTATGACTCAAGTAACTCACGGCTCACATGACTGTCAGCTCTCGCGAGAATTTCGGTCTCATCAAGTTTAAATGTGTGGCTGGTTCTCGTCTAATGAGCCTCGACTTCAGACGTGACTTGATTATCACTTTTAAACCCAGACATGGATAGATCATCCGCTCGAATTTCGGAATTTATACTGTCGAATAAGAGGTCCGTAGAAAATATATAGCATACAGGCAGATACTCTCTGCGGCGGCCAATAGGCCAGTCACAAACAGCGTGTAATCTTGCGATTCAACGTGCTGTGAGGTAAAGACAACAGGTTATGCAAGGCGATGGAGTAGGACATACTCGTTGTGGACTCTCCGCCAGCTGAGCAAGATCCTTCGCGGCTTGAAGCATCGACTTGCGGAGCACCACAAGCTTCTGCTGGGAGGAGGCCTCAGTGCGTTGGCTATCGACACGCGTGGCGGGCCGGCTGACGACGAATCGGATTGGTCGGAAGTTGATGCCACGCTGAATGTCCTCAGTGGTCCGAGCCCTGTCGGAAATAGCCCGGTAAACACGCAGGATCTCCTTAAACCGCATTTGACTGACACAGACATTATTGATGTAGAGAATACGATCGTCCACGCGCAACCGACCATCCTGGAGGAGGAAAAACAGTTAAAGAAAATGAGCAGTTGTGTTTCACGAGACAGGAGTGCGGTGTTGAGGAAGCGACTCGACGAAAACAATATATGAGGACTATATAGCCGGGCAAGTGATGAACTGCGAAGGGACTGGAATGACATTAATAGACCTCTTGTGTATCCTTACTATAAAATAACCTCAAAAGCATGATGATTGAGACTGTTATTTTAACTTGGGAGGACCATAAGGACATATTGTAGAAATTCATTACAAATCAGCATTACCGCAGTAAGGTACGTGTCAGCAAGGATAGTGGTGTTGGAAGGGATTCTGCTTTGCAAACGCAATGTGAATCGACAATGAGTATACAAAGGTGTAGAAGCAGGGAGTATTTACGAGGTCTCCGAAGGGCGAAACTGCGTAAATAAGAATTTTGAAGCCTTTTAAACAAAAGCCTATTTATTCTGGCAAATTTTAGGGATTATCAGTAAAATGATAGGTGTGAATTGCTTATATGCCCTCCTCTTCCACCCCTTGACCAAATTTTGGAATAGAATCGTCGTCAACTCTTCATACAGTCATGATCTAAATTCCAGGAAGGATGTGTGGCCTCAGACAGTCTGTGAAACTGACTTTACGACTGGCATAGAAGGCGTTGCCAGCTAGCCGAGTGTCTTTATTATTTAAAAACGGACTCTCTGAGGATTTACTGTAATACTCCAGACAAACGCATAGAGTGGAAAACATGCGAAAAATATGCACATGAAGATAAAACCCAGAACTGTCAGTGTCGAATAACTCGTGGCCAATGTAATTCAGATGTAAGTGGTGGTCTTAAACAATAACTTTTAAATAGCCCTTCTAGTCAGAATTCGGATGTTTAAAAGAGCTTAGGTGAGCAAAAGCGGAACTAGGCTAAAAGATGTGGTGATTTAAATGTAAGGATATATTTTTGGTAAGAAATGATTGCTCCACGGGAGTTAGAAGGTTAAGTGGGATGAAAACTTGTGAAAACTACGTCATTTAACTCATTTCGACAGTTCGACCGTCGCTCTCTACGATGTCCACCTCGAGCCTCAGCAAGCTGAAGCAACGCGGCGACTCCCGCAGGATTATAGTGAAAGTAGATTTGCGGCGAATCTGCCCCACTCGCTCCCCACTC